AAATAAAAAATATAATTATTTTTAATGAAATTTCTTTGGGATGTCTACATTTCGAGAAAATTTAATATTTATTCATGTAAATAAAAAAGACGCAGATCTAAGTTTTAGAAAAATAAGTTTACTGCATTAAATTTAAAAATCCTTCTTTTCATATTTGTTATTAATATGTAAAAAAATAAAACAATTTTTGTTCATAGAAACAAAGTCAAATTTGTTGCTTTTTATATAAAGTAAATGAATACAATATAATCTTCCTTATTGCCATTTGTAATTAAAAAAAAACAATTACTTGCCTTACTTTTAATTTAATTTGCTGATGAAGGTTGTGGAGTTACCTCACTGGATCTCCTAAAAAACCACCGTTAGTGGACGTTCTCTATAGCCTATAAATAGGGAGTGACATTCTAAAGTCCAACTGAAGATATATATCGGTCTTGTTTGTCTTCTTTATATCTTCAGTTAAACTTAACTTGAGTTCGGCAATTTTCTTGTAGTTGGACCTTTTAATATTCTACCAGGAGTTACAAACGTGTTCCCAATTCAACAACACGCAAACCCACACTGTCCTCTACAAACACATCTACGCGACATAACTATCTGGACAAGATGTTCCCAAGTCAACAAATATTTTCTTTGCAACACGTGTGACCCCAAAAAATCCCTAATCGCCATTGCAATTACTACTACGATTGAGTGGTCAGCAGGCAAACAACACTCATCTCAACTCTATCACCTTTTGCTTAACCCTTTCTTTCTCGTAGGCCATTACGCCTGACTTCTTTAACCGGCAGACATCACAAAATTTTATTTTCAACAAAACGAAAAATACGACTTTCGTCTTACGAGTTTGAAGCAAGCTAAACGTGACTAATTTTCTTTCAGGATACCGCCAGAATTCACAAGTAAACCTACGCGGGACACACGAGAAAATACCATTCAAACACCACGAAAGTAAACTACATTTTCAACTTTAAATAGCACTATTTCTCCTAGGCTCAGCAAATAAAGGATGAAATGATCCCAAAGGCGATTCACTGTCTTTTTTCACTCAAAGATGTTAACACAAAAAATAAGAAATCTGCAAGTACGATTTAGTAATACACTGAGATAGCTGTGATTTTGAGAAAAATCAACAATAATATCAGATATCTTCCAATGTTCTCGCAAACATGTATTCGACTTGTGGTAGCAATTTCATTAATATCGATTCAACTTTACAAATCGACGCTTCTTTTATTAAAATTTTGTGTACCAACATCAACCATACACAGGAAACAAACGAGGCCTTCCCAACGAAATTGGAAAACAACCAAATTTTACCAACCGCTGAAAACTCTTTTTCTACACTACCGACATATCTTCCAGGGTTTGCTATGATTCTGACACATTAGAGAATTATATAGCATCCTGACGACACAACACTTCAGACAAGTACATTTTCGTTGACATATTTAAACACACATTACTACTGTCGGAGTTAACTCCTCCTTAATTGTTCAAATTGTTCACTAGGGGACGCTCTCCCTACACTATAAATACTGGGCGATTTCTTGCCCTGTTCTCTTTGTCATTTCCTCATTTTCAGCGACACACATCTACAATGTAAGCTTTTGCGTCTTCCCATTTGTGGGAGACGCCATGAACATTATACACACATACACGTACGTACGGACATTCACCAAAATACAAACTCTTTACGTTCACACACAAACTCAAATGTTAATGTCTATGTCCATTGTAAATTTTGTTGTTTAATACATATATTGTTGACATATATATATATATATATATATATATATATATATATATATATATATTTGTTGTTTTGAACAATAAAAAAATATTAAAAAATTAAAATCTTCAGACACACTGGGTTGTAGATTAATATTCTTTCGTTTTTTTTATTTTTCATTTAGATTCCTATATATATATATATATATATATATATATATATATATATATATATATATATATATATATATCGGTCTTCTTGGTTTTCTTTACACTTCTTTTTATGGTGGATTCAATCTCTGAGTCCGCCATGTTCTTGTAGTTGACCTTCTTCTAGCAGGAATAAACGCACTTGTTCCTAATTTAACAACACGTAAACCCCCGGGGACTGCTACACAACCACACTGTTTCACTCTTTTTTTTTTTTAGCCTACTAGGGAGAAAACAAATATACACAAACTTTACGCACATATGGACAGAATAAAATCCCCTCTGCCCACTGGAGGGGAGTATTGTGGAGTTACTTCACTTACTTTTCTAAATATACCGGTGCTATGGGATGCTTCCTAAGCCTATAAATAGGAAGTGACATTTTCTTTCATCCTCTTTTTCCTTTTTCACTCAGGGACTCTAAAATGTAGGTTGAACGGGAAAATGCATTCCCACTGGGGTACACACATGCGTACACACGCACTCACGTTTGAATCTTTCATTTCATTCATTCTCCCTAGGACGTTCTGCTACACCAGGGGTGGGCAATTGTTTTTGCTGGAGGGCCATATTGTTGGGGCAGGGGGTAGCGGGGGGCTGCACTGATTGTATTCATTAGTGAACATGAAGTTTTATTTCTGAAAAGGTGTAATTTCAAGCATAAAATTAATAAATAAAACGTAAACAATTGGGGTAGTTTTATTCATTTATGAGCAAATTTTACATCACATTTAATTATTTAATGGGACAAGTGTATCTTATCACAGCTTTTAACAACTCTTTCAAAATCTGGAGTGAGGTTGCTTGTTGAGATTCTCATTGCTGCCTGCAAATTTATTTCTGTTAAAGAGCATCTATATTTATTCTTGTTAATTTTCATGCAAGAAAAACTTTGTTCATAAACGTATGTTGATCCAAATATACAGAACATTTTCTCATCAAATTTCTTCATACATAGAAATTTGTCAGCAGACATGATTTATAAAACTCAATTAATATTCCAGCATTATACATTTCTTTCACAGTGAGATCATGTATGTCTATTAACTCAAGCTGCAGCTCCTCAGGTGCTGCATCAACATCAGCAGTGAATGGCTCAATTTTCTTCAAACTCTGCAAATAGTCCCTGATCTTAGCAGAAACACTTTCAGACACTTTCACTTTTTCTAATAAAAGGAAATGGCAAAGCTTAGCCTCACCTGCTTGCCTTACAAGTAAGACTACTTTTGTATTGAAAGATTTTATATTTTTCCACATTTCATGTGCAAATAAGCCCTTTCCCTGCAATGTCTCATTCAATTCATTCAGTTTGTGTTATGGGAACTTACCTATAACTATAATGGACTCTTCCTGACACTATAAATACTGCGCCTCTCAAGAGGTATAATGAATGAACGGTGTAACCAGCACCAGTTCATGACTGTTGAACTCTCTGCTTTGGCAGAGAGGAACCCGGACGAGGCTTTGCCGAAGGGCAAGGTTTCGTCCGGGGAGGTAGACAGGCCCTGAACCCGTCTAGGCGGGTTCAAAGGGCATATATTTGGCCGAGCCTGCGGGCTCGGGAAACCCACGTTAAACTTGGCCTTGTGCCACATGCAACCCTCGTTGGCTACATACCGAATGAACGAGTCGAGACAATATTAGTTCACTCTAAACCAGACGGACAGTCATTACTAACACCTTCAACTAGTGGTACGAGGATATTGGACCATAACAGTTTGTCAAATATGTCTGCTGTAAACATCAGCTCATATCTTCACTCCTTAAATTCCATTTTGCTCACAAAATCACATGAAATCCCTTTTATATTTAGAAATAATAGAATTTTATTTTGTAATGAGCAGAGTCTTTTTATCACGTTACCAAGGCTCAACCACCTCACACTTTTATATTCTGACTCCATGTCCTCAAGCAGAAATTTGATTTTATGTCTAGTACTGCTTTACAAAGGATTTCTTGGTGCAAAATGAAATGGAAAGTTAATATATCACTGCTCAAGTCTTGTGCTTCTAATTTGTTTTTAAAAGTTTAATCATTCCTACATTTTTTCCGGTAAAAGCTCTGGCCCCATATGTGGGTATGCTTGCCATTTTATTCAATGGCAAGTCACGTTTCTCAACACAATCCACAGCACATTGAAACAGGTCCTGACCAGTGGTTGTATTTTTCATGGAATCCAGACCAAGTAATTCCTCTATAATTACGAAATTTATATCAATTCCACGGATAAAGACAATTGTGCAGTGTCATCATTATCCGAGCTCTGATCGAAAGCCAATGAAATCCAAACAAAGTTTTTACTTGCAGTGTTCAGCTGTTCTTTGATTTCTTCACTTCAGTCAATGCGTCATACTATTGGTCCTTCTTGATAGTGAAATATTTCAAATTTCCAACATGTACACAATCCACCATGCACGGCTTCACAAACTCACCATCCAAAAATGGCTTGTTGTGTTTGGCTTGTGGTTGGCGAGGTTGTTGGGATCTAGAAGGAAATGTTTATACAACAGAAATCAATAATAATAATAATAATAATAATTATTATTATTATTAATAATAATAATTGTTGTTGATTGTTTTATTGTACTAAATTTATAAGATAAATGTTATATAAATATGTACATTAATAGTAAAGAATATACTATAGATAATGTTCAGTACTATTTACGGTTTCTGCCATACACTGGAGATTTTGGAACATATTTATTCTTCAATAACAAATGGTGTCTAAAATATACTAGTCAGAATGTTTTATAAGAAGAACCTGCTTGACAGCATATGTTTAATAGTTTGAGTGATTTGTTTCTGTATAACTTATAAATTTTGCAGGTTATTTAAGTTCAGAAACTATTTTTAGACTTTCTGGATTTTTTTGGGTAGGGAGGGTAATAAGGATTTACTGATAGAAGTCTTACTAATTAGCCTATAGCTGGGGTGGGAAAGAGGTATTCATACCTTTCCCAAGGTTATTTGCGCGTCAGTGAATATAAAGAAGCCGACTGGAACTCTCCAATTTCCAATTGCAAGGCATTATCCATTACACCACCTGCATCTCCAAGATTACAGCAGCTGGTATTCCCAAACGATCACCCATTTAGGTATTGACCAGTCTCGATATTGCTTAACTTCTGTGATCATACGAGAACCAGTGTTTAAACGTGATATATCTGTAAACCATACTTAATAGTAAACTAAATATATATATGTTTGAAAATTCTTACTATACCAAAACTTCCAGCAGCACCAACGGCTGAAAAAGTCGGGTGAAGGGAAATAAATAAACATTGGTTACTTGGGAACTTGCCAAAGAATTGATTCCTTGAGTAAGAACACAAGAATCTAGTATTATTTTCTATTCAAACCTGAAAATGTATTACGTCAGATTAATTTGTTGAGAAGGGTATGAAATATCAGATAACATAAATATATGAAAAGTTAAAATAAAACACGGAAGTCTTCGTATAAAAAAAACTTGCATATATATTTTTTATATTCAAAATTATTAATACAAAATTAGCACGTATCTACTTGCAAAAGACTATATTACAAAAACAATATGAATTTTGTACTTATCTATTTGGTTTGTCACAAGCCTAAAATTCATGCATCCTATTTCTATAAATTCATGGACCAAAAAAAGAATGATTCACTTTCGTGCCTACTGATGTCTTTTGTGGGTCTTGTCAGGTTACATGACTGTAATTCTTGTGAATATTTATAATTATTTTTTCATTGTTATTTTTTGTTTGGCCAAGGGGTGATAACCTTTTGTCTCTCAATATAAACGTCGCCACCTAGTAGGAGAGTCTGTGGAATTTTTTACAAGACAAATTTTGTACTGATAAAGTTATGGAGAAAATGTAAAGAATACTTAGCAAGTTTCATGGTTGGATGAATGAACTGTACTAATTATGATTCTGATAATTATCGTATCAATAAAACAAATTCTATGTATGTCTGAAGGAGTGTCACTGCGTCTTTCTATCCCCAACGTCAATGTGCCTAGATGGGTTATGTATGATAAGATCCTTTCACCTTCAAATTTATTCACCAGCACCATTATGATATGAAGGATAGCACCATTATGATATGAAGGCTAGCAGAGTGCTTATACAGCCATTAGGCTTGGTCAAGAAGCGTCTCTGGAGCAAGAAGTACCCAATACCACAGGAGCAGCTGTCTAAAGTTGATAGCTTTTCACAGAGCTATGATATGGTTACCGAGCAAAGTTGTAATTCATTCTTTATCTTATTGCATGCACTGGTTGTGAGAAGGAAGACTGGTTCAAGAGATTTCATGCTTCTGCTAAAGGCAATCCACTTGAGAAGCATATTTTTGAAATCTGAAAAGTTGCAGTGACCCAGATACAAATAACAATCAGCAATGGCATAGATAAACATAGACGTCACAGTTCAATGGACTAGTGTAAAGTAAACTCACCAAATCAACCAGTTGAGTCAACGACTAATCAGTTACCCAAGATGGAAAAACCTTATCAAATTGACATTATCAAGTTTTCTCAGTATATAGCAAAGCTGATGCCAATTACATCTGAGATAAATAAGCAAAATGCTTCCACTTCTATATGCGGGTCTCATCAGGTCACGTGACTATTTTTAATTCTTGTATATATTTATAAATATTTTTAATTTGGTATTTTTGGTTGATGAAGGGGAGATAATTTTTTTGGTTCTCAGCGCAAATTTTTCCTTTTATAATAAATGACACGGGGGAAAATGTAAAAAATAATTTATTTTTTTGAGTTTAAAATCTTTGGTCATATTTACTGATCTGTGTACATAATGTGAGGAACATAAAATATTCTAAAGCGTTGAAATATGTTATTAGTAACCCGATCCAACCCAGGAGACCAGTTTGTCTCTTTTAAATACAGAAAAGAAAATGTAAGGAATGCAGGATGTAGTCATTCGTGTGAACCTTAGAAAGAAAGTATGAATATAATTGCAAATCAGAGAAACGGAAATGCTTAAATATAACAAGAATTAAATTCGTCAGAATCAATTTTGTATAAGCGGAAACAAGCAAAACCAAGAAAAACGGCATATGTTGCTTTTATAGAGAAATAATTCAGATTATAAGCCACATGATAACTAATAAGCAAGTTGTTACAAAGGGAATATAAAGACATACCTCACAGGGTAGGAACAGTCATACACTAGGTACTGTGCAAATATCGTAAAATTATTAAATCTTAAATACTAATTTAAGCATATTTTTAAAATTTCGACAAATTTGCAAAAGTATTTAAACATTTTTGTCGCTTACGTCAATATTATTATTTTTGATTATTTGCAATTGAATTAAGTTTATTTTGATACTATTTGTTTGATTTTATTATTTATCTCCCTTAGACTACCAAATCAATTATAGGTGTAATGAATTACTCCCCTTGAAATACAACAAAGCATTGAAAAAATTCAATCATTATATTTTTTCAATTATCAATTCGGAAAGAAGCACATAAAACTATATATTCTCGAATTCACTGATTTATCTGAATTTTTCTTTTTCATGTTACAATTACAAAATAATGCGGGGATTCCCTGGACCTCTATCCTTGGATTTACGTTATTTATCTTCATCAATAATCTTATGTCATCAGTTCCCAAGTAGGTATTTATGTTGATGAGATATCTATTTACTCTTGTCTAATAGGTCAGACAAATTAAAACTAGAAGTTGTTCTCGAAAATGACACCCGATCAGTTGTTAAATGACCCAAGAAATGGTTTGTAAATTTTACGCCGCCAAAACGAAACTGCTACCCTTTTTAAAGTTTTCTTTTAAGAACCATTTTTATCCCCCCATCATCATGGATTTTGCGCCTTTTTGGTTATACGTTTGTCACTGATGTGGGTTTGTTTCATTTATCTTCTTAGCAACTTAAATAGCGACTCGTGTGAACTGGTATGTCTAGTAGGACTCTAGTAGATATTTACTTGACCCTCCCCCCCACTGAGTCAGGTTGTGACACAAGGTCAGTTTTTAACGTGGGGGGCCCCGAATGTTTTCACTCGGGCCGCTGGTCCAAGCTGGTCTTAGCTGGTCATAGCTTGTCCAAGCTGGTCAGGGCTGGTCTAAGCTAGTCATAGCCGGGATACCACCAGACCAGGGACGAGCCCTGTGCCAGGTAAGTATGAGGGTCAAGCAGATCAGTTCCTAGGAACCGACGGCAGCACATGAGATTTGATTATAGTGGTGAAGGTTTTGTGCAGAACCATCCACACTTTTTGAAGGGCCGAATACAGAGACCACAGAGAATGTGTGTGTGTGTGTTTGTGTGTACATATGTAGGCGTATGTGTATGCATAAATTGTACTTATGCAGCAAAAATTAATTAAGACATGTTTTATTGTGAGGATATCTATGTTTTGGTTATTTGTTTCCATTTTTTTTTGCATATAAACTGTCGCATATCCATATCAAGCTTATGGAGAAAACATTCAAATTTCATGACTATTTTGTTTGAACAATTTATCAGTAAAAGGAAGAGCCTAGGATACGAAATACGAATTGGAGAAAACAAAATCAAGTCAGTACGAAAATTTAAACATTTTAATTTAAATTAACAGAGGACGGAAAATGTGAATGTAAAATCCGAAAGCGCATTGGAATAGCTAAAGATGCATTTAAAAAAAGAGCACTGAAGTGTTATGCAATATCGGTCCTCCTCTATGGCAGTGGCTGCTGGCCAATCTCTTCACAGATGAATAAGAGATTTGAGGCAACAGAAACAGAAGGATACTTAGAATCTAATGTAGAGAATATGTGAATAACGACAAAGTTTTAAGAAAAAAATGGAAGGAAAAACGACACTTAGAATCAGAAAGAGACAGTTGAAATTTCTAGCAGTCATAAGGACTGAGAGGATTTTAAGGCAAGATTCAACGAATAACCCAACTAATAAGCTTGTGTAAATTTTTGGCAGAATAGACTGTCCTAGTTCCACGTTTAATGGATGTCAGTTATCCCCTGTTAATTCCCCTCGCCAAGTTCTCCACTGCCTTAACCGGGTATCGAACTCACACTCTTTGGGTCCTGTCACTGGTTCTACCCAACGCCTTTATCCACTGTGCCATGTGCCCTTGACATCTGTGTATGAATTTCTGGGTATTATAAACCTTAAGTTTATGAATTTTCCAATCGTTTTCTTTGTCTATGATCTCAACCTGATCTCACAGAGGGCGGTGATCTCCCTTTTCTCTCCATATGTGGTCAGCCACGCCTGATTTTTTTTAAAGGTAAGGCTTCAAGAACACCAGAAAGCTGTAACACGAGGGGAAGTGGAAAAAACAGGCGTGGCTGACCACATATGTACAGAAAAGGGAGATCACCAGTTTACCCCAGTGAGCGAAATAAAGGGTTCAGTTCGACATTCCAACCAACTGAAGAAGGCCGGAGCGTACAACGGCCGAAACGTTGTAATAAATATGGCGACAAAGATGAGGACAATAGCCCCAATAATATAAATAGTGAAGATGTTTGTTTGGTCATTTGTTTTATTGCATGTTTCTGAGTTTTGAATTTCCGGATAAGATTTATGAAAGAACTGGCCAAAATTGATATTTTTTGTTGGAATACGTTCGATCATCTCTAGTGATTATAGGAAACAAATGCATAAAATTGAATCTAATCGGAAGATTTTCCTTATGCATTACCCACTGATCTATCTGAATTATTTTCATCTTGTTTGTTATAATTACAAAAGATGCGGGAGGTTCCAGGCCGCTATCCTTGGATCTACGTCTACGATCTTCCTGATGTCATCAATTCCCAACTAGCTATTTCTTCTGATGACACAACTATTTACTCTTGTTTAAATAATACACCAACAAAGTAAAACTGGCAGCAGCTCTTGAAATAATCTACAATCAGTTGTTAACCGAGGCAAGAAATGGTTTATACTCGCCATACGTTCATTAAATGTTTATAGCATGAATACTTCCTAAAAAAAATAAATAATAAGTTTCCTTCAAAAAACTTATTTTTCTAGTTCATGCAATTCTGTCTATATCTCTGATGAGGTATTATGATTACTTACATTATTTATATTATCGGAATGTTATCCTCGTCTTCATGGCCATATTCACAAATTTTTTGCTATTTTATGCTCCGGCCTTCTTCAGGTGATTGGAAT